GAGTGTTGCCAAAGTGCGAGCCAGCGTGTTATTTGATCACAAGTGCGAGACATCACAAGTGTGAGCCGGCGAGCCATGACGTCACGACAATAGATACGAGACGTTAACGAGTTGTGCGAGGTATCGGCTGAGATTTGTAGAGTACAATTCAAAAAACAACTATAGATCTAATAATGAATTATTGTGGTGTTAAATAGACAATGTTAGCTATCAAGGAGCGACGTTGTTTTTCATTGGGACCTTCGTCCCTTCAAGGCTAGGCCTATACCATCCTAGCTAGTCTAGGCTAGGCCTAGGCTAGCGCGACATGCGGACGTTGGTACGTGTTGGTTAGTCTACAAACGTTGCCTAAAGTAATTGATTTTACCTGGCAGAACGAAAGAAGCAAACTCCGCTTTTCAGTCGTCTTAGGCCCTTATTTTTTGACAAACAATGACCTTTCAGAGGTCAAATTGCTGTCAAGAATATGAATTGGCTGCTTCGCAGCAATCATCGACAAGGTGTTATCAGCCATTGGTTATCTGTCAAAACGTAGGACCAACTACTAACTCCCTGTTAAAACTATATTCATACTGTACTAGGCATGCCTGTCAAATGAAATGACCTGAAATGCATCTTAACACGTATTTCATTTTACACGAAAAATTCCTCTACCGCCACAGCATAGTGTATCTGTGCAAGTGCAGTATACAGTACTCAAAAACTGAAAGTTGCTTAATAGTTTAGATGTCCTCCTGAATGAAATGACAGGCTCATTCCAACTTTTGAAATCTGGTAAAAAAAAAAAAATAAAGTAGGTTCTGGCCTACTTATCACCACCATAAAGATAACAAATGCTAAATTGGAAGCTTCTGATTATTGTTGTAAGCTTCATTCCCAGCCAATTGTAATTTCATTTACTTCCCCCGGAAAATTTATATCCTACATCTTTCCGCTATACAAATATTCTAACGAGGGCATTATATATGCCTATGCCTACAGGTAGATCGTTACCCATCAACACTTCATGTTGGGATGCTTGTTGTTCATGGGTACTTCCTGAACCGTAATGATACACCCCCTGTCCCCTCTCCCCCGCCTTCACTTATCTCTGTTTAAGTATAATATGTATCATATTATGAGTACTTTTGATTTAATTTGATTTGATTTATTGATGCTTGACATAACAATACATATTATACACAGGAACACGTACAATATCAAATGAAATAGTTAACTGTGACATAAATTGTCATAAAAAGTAACATGTTTTTAAGAGTTAATAAACACAAAAGAGAACACAGTACATCAAAACTAAAATTCAATCAAATATATGAAATTCAATATATTTTCAAATAATTAATAAATTGACTAAAATTCAAAAACCTAATCTAGCATCAAAAATTTTAACATAAATACAACAAATTACTAAAAACAGTTTCACAAGCCACAGGAAATCAGCCAATCATGCTAGAGGGCGCTATGCAAAACAAGACTCCAAAGTTACTGTAGTCTAAAAGTATGTACATCAACGGTTGGAATTAAAACTTTTTTTTTTTTCTTGTGTGGTGAAACACCACTTTTATTCATCTTCATCATAAATTCATAATCATCATTTCTTTTTCAAACTTAGTCTAAGCCAATTATATATTTGCTTTATTTATTTTTTTCTCTCTCTCTTATTTGCAGTTCCTACCATTTGTATACGGTATACCTTTTTTTCATTATTTTCAGTGTTTCATCATTTTTTCCAATCAATCTGACAATTAAACAAATCTTAAATCAATCAATAATTTGAAACTCAAATTAAGACATGAAATTTCAACCGGTTAATTACTGAAATTGGAAATAAAACATTTTGAAAAATATATATTGCTAACCAACTGACCCCAACTTCCACATGTCACTGTGCTAAGGCACATAACAATTTTGTTTGGCCTTAGTCATCTCTAGGAATAAGTAATCTTCATTGCCATTTTGGGCATTGCGATTCTTGGATATTTAGTCATTATTTTCGTTTTGTAAATTTAGTTCCTTCCATCAAAGGATACATTAAATTTTGCGACTCCTACAGGTTTTGACTCACGACTGCGTAGTTTGATGCCGTGCAAGAATATGTTGTGGGACCTACTCTAAATGGTTTGAGATAGTTAAGTTAGCGGCCTTCGAGGAAATGCAAACCTACGCCAAGTTTTCAGACATTGTACAGCAGCCTGTTAGACTTGAGTTAATTTAATGATAATTCATTAACTTTACCTGCATAGCTGTGGCCTTCATTAGTTTTTGGCTTGGAAATAGGAACCAATGCAATCAAAGTGGTATATGTGTGTGTTTGTGTGTATGTGTGTAAGTCTGTGTGGATGTATGTTATGCTGATGTCATCAAAGCACAAACAATGTCCTCTAATTTGAGGGTTACTGATGGAGCTAATCGAACAGAACCAAATTAACTATACATCCTAACCAAATGCCATGCACATTGGCAGAATCGGAAGGTGGGGGGGGGGGCAGCCAAACCCGGTCCAGCCTAAGTGTTTTAAAATTGTTTTAAATGGTGAGAAAAAGAAAATTATATTTAAATTTTAAGTTTAAAAGTGCTGTTTCCAGCCATCTGGGTGCCATAATCATAATGTTCTTACCTCAGCCCCCTGAGGTGCTACTGTACATAAACCCTGTACCAGTGAAAGCCCTTACTAGCCTCCTCTATTTTAAATTCTTGGATCTGCCATAGAAACAACTTTATGTATCTGTACTTAAATAATATCTCATTTTAGGGCTTTGTAAGTAAAGAAAAGTAAATTGTTTTTATATAACAATTTCAGAGTTAATTTGAACCTACAACCTGAAGTTTGGAAGCAAGCCCATGAAGAAAGGAAAGCTAAATGCTCAATTAAAGCCATGCTTACAGAATGTCAGGCAATGATTGTTTTCCCTTCTCACCTTTACATCCTGATTATTTGTTTCGAAATTCCAACATGTACACAGACCAGACTTGACAGGCTAACTCCCAGGTTTGTAAAAGTCACACTTTTGTATCTACAGAGACTTATTCAATTTACACTTCTTCTAAAAACAAAATTACCTATCTCGTATTTCAAAGAAATATGGTATTCAAGATTAATTTACCTTAAGATGACTGAAAAGGGGGCAAAGTCTTGGCAGCTTGTCAGTAATAATTGTTCTAGCAGTTCACTCCCTGTTGTTTAAGCGCTTTTACTGTGACAACCTGTGGGTAGAATTATGATAGATTAAAAATCAATCCCTTATTTCTATGCCGTGTCAGTTAATCTAGTGATAAATTATCAGCTATGTCTGGTGGGAATGTAATCCTAATGAAATCAAAGTTTAATTTCTTCAGATTTTCTAGGTTAACAGTGATGAAAATTTCAATTAACATAAATGATCGAATAAGGGCATCTCTTGATTAAGCCCTCTTTAAGAAGCATGCCACAACAAACATAAGCTTTCCAATGATTCGTAAGATATATCTTGCTCTTGAATATGTGCTTTACTTAAAATAAGCACTGCACTTATGCTTAAAAAACTATGCAAGTGCATTTTTGTATATTTATTGTAATTAATGTTGCTTAAAAAATAGGTAATGATAAGACATTCTGGTTTATTCTATTAGTAGACTGATCTGGGGCCAAATTCAACAATAAAGCTGGCAACAGCCAGTCATGTCTAATCAAATTGATGGCCTTGAGTAAGCAAAGTTTTTATCCTTCTCTGTTGGTTGTTTTGGGGTAGAAGTCTAAAAGCAGTCTGAGTGAGACCGGTCCAAAATATTGAATTTGATGACTAACCAACGATTGCACGCTGTACATATTTTGCACTAAACGATAAGAGATTCCATCATAAAATTCCTTGAATTTAACTGTGACCTACAGTGCCATGCAAAATTTGACCATCACAGGGGCTGGCTTAAGTATTTATAGAAGGTGACCCTTCCAGTTACAGTATGCCCAGAAGGTCAGCTGAAATTCAGGGGCCTTCTTAAAATGATGTACTGTATGCTCACTGCAAGGTATCTCCACCATAGTACAGAGTTTTCACTACTGTTGTAACTTTTCAGCCAAAATGGAAGTTTAAAAAAAAAAACATGAAAAAGATCATATCATTTCCATGTTAAATAACTATTTTATAGACATACAATGTTTCTTAAATATCTCAAAATTGATGCAAATAGCAATATGATAATAATTAACTAATTAAGAAACCTTAACATTTATTATCATTTGTTATGTTATGGTCTGCATTTACTGTATTGTCCCATTTTGTATATTTTACATTATTTGAACAAAAGTTTGGGTAGCATTTCCAACTACGGAAAGCTCTGAGTCTTACTACAGTACAGCTGATTATCAGGGCTCTTTATTTCAAACTTTCTAAAAAACTGCTGATATATTCACATGTAGGAAATTCTCTAAGAAAACAAGTTTAATAAAATGAAGATATTATATTCCAAGGAAAACTGCCCGGTAATGAGATTAACTGTACATGTGAAGAGAAATAAGGTTGAGTGAGAATTAGCATGGAATGGATCTGAATCAGGTCACAGCTTACTACCTTGATGATGGACGCCATAGTCCAGTATATAAGAAGATTAACCTCTATCTGTGCTACATGGATTTATAGGCTTAATTTACAGTAAGGCTTCACTAAATAGGCTCAGTTTCTACTAGTAAATACAGCAATAATTTTTTGAAAACAGCTGTAAATTAGGGAAAAAAAAAACACATGTGGCTGTTGCTGTATTCTCTGCCAAAGTATTCTAATATCCATCAGTGGTGGCAACAGTGTGTGTGTGGGGAGGGCAAGGGGCGGATACAGGATTTAACAAAAGGGGGGGATGCCAAAGTAACAATGGATGACCAGTTGAGGTGCGTAGCACCTAGCGGGGTGGGATTGGGGTTAAGATTTTTTGAAATGGTACGCCCTTAAAAGCTCTTACAGGGCATCTTACAACAAAGAATGACATCTATTATTCAGAAGCGATATGCCTACAATTACTCCATCGTACACCAGGCAAGTTGGAATTTAATGATCACCTTTCTACGGAATTGAGTATCCATGTCAAAAATCATCTCAAACAATCATCTAAAAAAAAATAATAATAATATAAAGGGGAGGATGCATTGCAGCCCCGGTAAAGCAGGACCCATGGGAAGAGCTACCTTTCCCTTGCAGAAAAAAAAAAATATTCCTATGAAATTTCTACAAATTATGACTAAAATCAATTATTTACTATACCTCTTTAAACCCCTAAATTATAGAGCACCTGTGGTAATCTATGATAGCCATGAGCTCTAATCAGCCACATTTCCCCCTCCTCCATCAGACACATCAACCAACCCTCCTAGGAGATATGCAGGCGGCACCGCTAGACCTTCAGATACTTCGTTCAGGAATGAGCAACTATTAAAGTGCATTTTTTTTTGTGAATGATGTCACCAGTTTACAGTAGGTGTACTGTAGTTTTAATTTGTCATGTACTCATAACCTAAGATTCGGCCACTGATTAATTAATCCAGAAACAGAATTGCTACATTTTAATGGCATCTGTATACATTCTATATACATTATTTATTATACATACATTTATTATACATACATTATTATTATTATTATTATTATTTTTATTTTTATTATTATTATTATTATTATTGTTGACTCTTCAGGGCAACGACCTCTCATTGCTCTCAGAATTATTTAATCAATTACTGAAGCCCATGATCTGTACAAATTAAACTTTTTTTCTTCAAGAAATTAGTGTTTCCTTATAATGTGTATTTTTAGTGTTTTCAACGTATTCTGTTTAACCACCATTTTATTGGCCTAACCATAAATCCAATCAAATCCGCGTCTGATGATTATGATAACAGTCAAGAAAATCGAGTAAATACCTAAATCATGTCTTTTGTCTCTCGATAAACATTTTTGTTGGGAAACATTTTTAAATTCCAAATATCATTTATTCTCATAGAAGGCCTACAGTACACTGAGTAGATCCCAATGTGAAACCAAATAGATCCTACAAATTCAGTCCAGTCTCTTCCACCTAAAACAAAATTCTAACTACATGCTTAACACTCTGTAAACTTTCCAACATAAAAAATTCCTTGATCGAAAGGTCCTCACAATAATCAGTGGCATATCTAGAAGTCTTAAAATGGGAGTATTAATGGGGATGAGGCCGCGAAGGTGAAGTGGGGGCTCGATTATCAGTTGAGAGGTGCTAGACTTACAAAATCAGGCAATTTAGGTGGTTTTTAAACTACTTGACCATGATTTGTGGGGGTTGTCTGGGGGGGGGGGGCAGGCAGGTTTGAGTAAATTCTGGAAGGCATGCACCCCCTGCGCACCCCCTAAATACGCCACACTTTCACTCCCCGGCCTCGTAACTCACCATTATGCCATGGATCACGGATAATGAGTGAGACTTGGCAATTTTAAATTGGTCTGGTATTGAGTTAGTTGCGCGACTGAGAATAATCCTTTTAAAGCGGAGAAGGCAGATTCTGCCCATTAATCAGAACCAGAGAAAAAATGGTGTCATTGTATATATTCTTGAAAAGCGTGATATCAAATCCAAGTACTGTACTCATAGTCTAACCAATTTTGTATAGGCTAGATTTTGTGCAGCCATTTTACACAGCTTTTACAGGTATGTAGCAACAATTCCCTGTCAGTTCCAATTAGAATAAATAAATTAAATAAACCTAATTACCAATGTCTAAAAATATAAAAAAAGTTAAATTACCAAGCAAGACAACATTCAACAATTCCATCAGAATGCACTAACAGGGCAGACAACATGTTAAAATGCAGAATACTGCGAAAAATATTTGCTGACATATGACTCACTACAAATCATAGTCTATGTTCACAACCGACACAGAATAAATGTTCCAACATTTACAACAAACCGCCTGGTAAACAACTATTCATCACTCTGTTATTGTATATCTACAAGTTTATTACAACTACTACTACACCCAAAAAAATAAACTACTTACCAACCTCCATGGCTCCTGGTCATAGTGTCTAACTCTGCGAGTCATATACAGACAACTGCTTTCCACAATTTCATAAGGACAATTTAAAAGCTTATATAGACTCAGGGCAGAAGTTGAATTACTACGCTGAGCACAAGTCAATATGTAGCACTGCAGTTCAAGTACTGAAACTATATCATTTGACGTTGATCTATTTTGATCCGCTCAAAATATTCACGTCAAACAAACAAGTTCATCATCATAAGCATTTCAGCATAACTGAGAAATACTATGAAATTAACTGAAATCACTATACTCTTGGACCATAAAAAAACATCTTTCGTTAATAATATTTTATATAGGCCAAAATGATTATTATGTAATTTTTTTTATCTCTATCCTTTATTCCAAGAGGTGAATTTATCCATGATTCAAGGCCTGCCATAGAATGAGTTATGTAATTACAGAGAAGTATGTGGATATTTTGTGACGAAATAAAAGGAGGCCCTCGCCTTTCTTTTAAAAAAAAGAATCGGGAAATATGTTTTTTTTAAAAATTGGTCAGTAATTAAATAAATTAAAATAATATAAAATTGTATAAATTAGAATAAAATTAAATAAATACCAAAGATAGAATTAAAATATCAAAACTACTTTTCTTATTATGCAATAATAATGAAGTATCATAAGGTCATAAACAAATATCATACTATAATGTGTATTAATTATAAGCACACACACAGAAATAATGATAACATTTGTTGCAATAATGTGAAATACTGTATGCTGAAGGCTACTCAGAGTTGCTATAGTAGTATGTGTATATAAAAATAATATACTGTACTGTACTCTCTCTAAAAATATTAAACCATGAAATCAACATGGTTTTAACTAGTGTGCAGACCTTACCAAATTTTATTTGACAATTCTGTTATGTGCCCATATATAGTCATGATGTGCCTATATATAGTCATGATGTGATGTCATCATGACCATATTTAGGCATGGCAAATAGAATTTGATAGTGTGGACACGGTTTTATAAGGCTCCTGTAGTATTAACTATCAAAGTATAATTACTGAGATATCTTTCTATGATGCCTGTATTATCATGTAATTGAAAGAGCAAACTATCACAATACACTTTTGATTGCTTTTTCTGATCGGTTATTTATCGTAAAGATCGGATATCCGATTAGAACAGTGAATGTTTTACAAAAAATATCTCATCGAATGACACTAAATGTGCGCTGACGTATGTATTGTCATTCTATCCAATTTCTTAGTTATTTTCATATTAATTTGCAAGGATATTCTAATTTCGCTTATTTATCAATGTTTTTCCAACAAAAAATGTCATATAGTAGATTGCAATTTACTTGAGTATATAAAAGAGGTTTACAACTTTATTTTTTTAAATGTTAATACATGTTTTAACATTACAGTATTCAATAAATTGTCACTGTATATTGTCCTATTTTTACAATATAAATTATTAATCACTATCTTACATCTATTTTAATCACAAATCTTCAAGAACATTTTTATCAGTTTTACATTTAAAAAATTATTCTTTAGTTGTTTGCAATAGGAAAAACATATAGTAACACTGATTGTCTCTTATTGGAAGGCTTAAGATTAAAGATGTTTTTAGTCTTGTGGTGAAAAATATCAGAGAACTCATAAGATTTTAACACAGAAAGGAAAAACAAGCATATTATTCTTATATCCTAATCTATAGGGCATGCTTAAGATGTATTTGGGATTAACAAATTACAATAACATAATACAGTATAATTCTGACAAATTAATCAAAAATTATTTACAGATTTAGTAATCCCTATATTTACTATTAATGAATGAATGAAAGCATAAATTATTAAACAAATGAGGTGACTAAAGACAAATAATGAATGAATGGATGACTTGAATAAATTAATGAATGAAAAAAAGGAATACTAAATAAATTATCAAAATACTGAATAAATTATCAAAATAATGAATTAAGTAATATGAATAAATAACTGAATGAGTTGAATAAATAAACAAATGAATGGTAAGAAAATGAAAGAATTAATACACTAAACAAGAAGGAAATAATTCCTGGTATAATCTGGTTTATCATAATCTGGTTTATGAGAAGCAATTTGTTTTGATATATATTTCATTAATTCATTGTCAAAATCTTTCATTTAAATGACCAGTAGATGGATATAGGCCTATACTGTTATATATTATCAATGGTTTTTTAGTACCAAATATGAATCACCTTTAATCAGTTTTACGCAAATGTCAAAACACAACAAAACCATTAAAATATTGATGTCTGCAGTTAGCATCTAGATTTTTATGGCATTAATGGGTGAGCAACTTCCTAAAGTGCTTAAATATCATTTTAAAAAGCATTAAATGCTAACTTAAAACTGCCAAAACATGATTTACTGAATGTATATTTTAAATCACTTTTATTCTAGTATGGGGAGAAATAATTCATCTTCTCGCCATAAACAATATCCACTCTTAGCTTTGGATGGCGCACGTTCAATGTACAAATGGGGGAAAAAAAAACAAGTTAGCAACATTATGAGCAAGTTATCTCTGTCATGTACTGTCTACAGTATATAAAGTCTACAATGTTCTAAGGTCCATGTTTTTACTTGTTATACTACAGCATATCTATACTCAACCCTAATTAAATTAAGAGCCTATTACACATGGTAAAATCTAGGAAAATCAAAAATAAATTAAAACATAAATTTTATGAGACCTAAAAATTCTAATAAAAAATTCTTAAATACAAATAATTAAAAGAAGAATGGAATTAATATGAAAAATCTGAAAAAATAAATACTAAATTAATGATTATTAAAATTACTAAAAAATGAAAATAAAGTTAAATAACTAAACAAAAAATTGCTGTGAATTGCTTGCTTTGTTTATTTATTAGCTTTCAATTTCAGAATGAGAAGAAAAATACTGGTGTTTCCAAAGACTATACGAATGGTAGAGCCTATTATTTAAATGTCTGAAAAAGGAGCCACAGAAAAGCATTTACACCGCAGCCCATGTCAGGTATCCTACCTGCAAATCCATTTTACCACACTACAGTACGTAATCAAGGTCATACACACTAGCTATGTAGTGACTCGAAAAAAAGAACCATCAAAAACATTTTCTTAATTAAACTTTCAAGTTTATTACATTCACATTGCAATGTGTCACTAATTTTCTTTAACACAATTTGACCCGAAAGCTAACCTTATTCTCACTTCATTTATGTTGGTTTAACCCATGGAGTTATAAGAATACAAGAGCGCTAACTCCAATGTACTCCATGTTCGATGCTGTGTGTCTACCATACAAGATGGCTGCCGTACATTCAGCCAATCATAATACGCTAAGTGCACGTTTCAATGGGGCCCACGTTTCAATGGGGCCCTTAACTCATCTTTAAACAATATTTTGAATACAGTTTCTGTTGAAACTAGAACGCTGCGGTGTAGTGTACACCATTTCGGTTTTCATTCCTCATGTACTTTACATTTAAAGGGGGGGTGCGGGGATGAAACGATTGATTTTTAATTTAAAATAGAGGGATGGGCGACCACAATGACGGTGAAAAGGTTAAATAAGCAATATATGGCCACTTGTCTCATCCCCGCACCCCCCCTTTAAATCAGATACTTCACTTGGCCTCTTTTTGGCTAAGATAGTTTAATAATTTTTAATATGTATACCGGAAGGTGGCACTTTCCTATGGCAGCCATCTTGGATGGTACACATACACAACTCTGCATTGCTTAGTCACCTACAGCACTCCATAGCACTCACTAAATATCACCCAAGCAAGAAGCAATAATGTCTCAATGTGAATGTGGGTTTAGCTTAAACTGTGGTGCCTAGGCCCATGTGAGTATTACTGTACTGAAGCTAAATAAAAGCTCAAAACTATCACCCCACATAGGTTACTGTTATTGAAGAAGTTGTTGCAATTCCAACAGCTCATATTCATTAACTTGTATACTTAAATTAACACATCCACCCACGCTATTTCATCAAAGGTTTATAATAGAACTTACTTTAATTTCCTTAGCAACATGCATACTATGAAATGGAGACATTTCAAATCCCATATCAATCACCTATAATTACAAATTAACCATTCGCAAGTGATAGAATATAGCTCAATAGCCAATCTGAACTGAAAAAGCATGATCAAAAGTTAGGTGTGGGCGTACTGATACAGTAGGTGTGCAATGTGCTGCTAGAAGAAGATGGAAAGAAAATTAGTTGTGAAAAGAAAACAAAATGAGGTTATACCCTCAAGCAGGATTAAAAGCATTAATAAAAATTAATAGAAGAAATAGCTGCTTATGATACACAATTCACACGACTTTAAATGTAAACAGGGATATATACTGTACTGTTGGTTTCTTACAAATGGTTCACACGACAGATAATAGACTAAATATTAACACTAGTAACAGGAAAATATGTCTGATAATTCCCAACAAGGTTTATCACTTTCACACAAACACAAATACAAACCTTGCTAAAAAGTTGTAATACAATGTTATATGTTTTGTTTTTACCAGTGAATTTTAATGTTTATTTAGAGTTTCCAGGCTTTGTGGAATTGTGGATTATTTTGTTTTTATTTATATCATGTAAATGCATGGTTATTAACTATTTTTTTAACTATGTTTATTGATACAGTATACGTTGTGTACAATTGTATCAATTCAGCCATTGGCTGCCTTTTACAATTTTGTTGCTTTGAAAAATAAACCTTGAATATAATTGAAGTTAAGATATGTGCAACGCTTACCTGTAAGTGAAAGATAAGCTACATCCCTGTTACCATGGGCACAGACCCTGGCAAAATATAAAATTAAAAGAAAAACATGGTCAACGTTCATTTCTGTTCAGGCCACCCTCCTCTGGAACCAGTTACCCATTTTATGTTAAACTCTCTGCAAATTTAGTTCTATTTAAAGAACTTTGTTATTTTCTAAAGCTTTTAAAGTCTGGTTTATTTTTCTCCTTGCGCCTTTGATAGTTTTTGAATTGGCAAGGTAAAAATTTCTGATTTATTAATAATACTTTGCAAACATCATGAATTCTGTTTATACTGAGATATACTGTATTGGTATTCTTATACAAGGATGCATTCTCACGACAATATCCTTGGTACAGATTATTATTCGTAATTTGTATTTTGTAAATAGAGTATTACTGTAGGCCTAAAATACAAAACTGTCTGCCATCTGATTCCTTTTTTTTTTGGTGAAGATGGTAGAATTCCAAAAATAAAAATAAACTTATATTGACAAATTAAAAAAATGTGAGATTGTCAGGTAAAAGAAGCAACAGAATGCACCCTTAGGACAAGAATGCAATTTCCCTAATTAATGCCATTAGGGCACTGAACAAGTCACTAGTTTGAAATTTTCGTATTTTATGTTTGTTTTTGTTAAGGAACCAAATCAAATTTCATTGTATTTGTATTGTACATGTATGACAAATAAAGTTCATTGAGCATTGAGTAGTAAATAATGCTCTCTTATTTATTTAAATGTAATGGGAAAAACAAAGAATTACAATTGGGAGATTTTATTACGGGGCCAAAAGTGATAAAATGAGAATTTGTTTTATTTTTCAATTTCCATAGTTTCACGGCAGCAAGTGCGCTAAAACAGATTGTAATTAAATTTTTTCCAAAAATTATCATTATCGCCATGTTCATGAAACCAGGCCTTTAAAGATTTTATACCTGAAGATTTTTAGATGACTGTGTAATGATAATTCAGGAGCAAAATGGTATAAAGTAGTCTTTAATTAACAGGCAAAGTCTTAAAAACCGAAAGGTCCACTGATTAATCTCAGATAACAAGGTATAATACATATTCCAAGTATTGAAATACACGCCATCGTGTTGGGATTCAATATTTCGACATTAATTATGTCATCATCAGGAATGAAAAAATTTTCCATATTAGTAAGCTTATATGCACTAGTACCAAAAGTGTTTAACCAATCAAAACATTACCTCTGGTAGGTGACATAGCAGTGATTTAAACAAAAGAGAAGCATTCTTACTCTAATCATCAAAGATACCTACAAAAACAAAGAAAGCTCTTTTGAAGCTCTGAGCCCATTGTTAAGCAAAGGGTGTAGTCTACGTATAGCGAACGCTTCTTTAAACAATAGGATAGACCAGTTTCGGGAGCTGTCAATAATGTTAGTACTAGAAAATATTAAACCTAATTTATTACTTACATTACAGATGACATTATCATTTTCAAGTATACCTTGTAATCCTAAAACATATTGGAATGCCTCACAGTTTTTAACATGATCAAATATAACACTATCATATCGTGAAAATGTTCTTTAAGTCTAGTTATTAAGCACCTATCTATCTTACCAATATAATCACTATTGCAGCCTATTCCAGTACCAATATAATCACTATTGCACTATTCCAGTAACATTGTCAAAGGACCTAACAATAATCATTTCAACATAAAAGGCACTTATAACTGCATGTCATCCAACCTTATATATGCTATATCGTGCAATATTTGCTCCCTAATGCTCTCTACATCGGACAAACTGGACAAACACTAAGACAACGGATTAATGGTCATAAACATGACATCAAACACAAACTCACCCAAAAACCTGTAGCTAATCATTTTTCATCTTCTGGCCACTCAATTAAGAATATGAAAGTGCAAGTAGTTAAGAAAGAATTTTTCAAAAATAGCTGAAAAAAAAAGAAGCTGAACAGAAAATAATTACACAATTAGACTGTATAGAACTAGGCCTTAACATTGATCGAGGATTCCTCGCACATTACCGTCAATAATTATTTCTCATCATTGTATGTATATTTTTATATTTCTATAGCTGCCTTATTATTAACTATATTTTTGTCTCATAGTTACCTTACTGTATTTACTGCCTACTTATGTATGCTATTTCCCACAGTTTCTTATCATTGATCTTTTGTTCTTTTAATACTGTTTATTTAGAATGCTTATTCCAGCAGACTTGTTCTTGCTTTGTACACCATTCTTTGTTGTTTTAGGACCGCCCCCATTATTTCAGTTGTATATTATAGTTGTTTCTTATCCCATTTGTACAGTCTCCTGATGAAGTCCACTGTGTGGACGAAAGCTAGAGAATAAATTATATATTGTTAGTCTCAAAAGTGCTGCTGTTTTTTATTACTTATACTTTCTATACTGTACAGACTAACGCGGCTATACTTTTTATTCATCATATTGCAGTCTGGACATTTAAAATGGTAGACAACAGAACTTCTGTACTCCTTATGGGTTTGATCCTTAGTAGATATAAAATGAGAAACATTTTTATACTGCTATAAAGTTATGAATTTTACCTCTTTAATTAAGTGTTTCTTTACCTTATTCAAACATCTACGTAAAATGAACTCACCTGGTTTTCCTAGATAAGGCAATCTAACCCAAATCTTAATCAAGCTATCATCAGTAGGCCTATGTATACATTTAGGTTCATTTAATTTCTTAAGTACATTTTTAACAACTTTTGAAGGGTACCCAAGGCAAAGTCTTAACTAGTCAATTATATAGCTAGCTTTATCACATACTATCATAGACTGTCTTACAGGTCACACCCGTAAAACGATTGCTATAAAATAGTCTTAACTAAAACCGCGCCAAAAGGACTAACAATTACACCATTGCAAGTGTGCTTATTGTTCAATGATGCGCTTATTCGTTGTGCATTGAACATTAATTTTATCACGCACATTCGCAAATACTAATTATAAATTTTAAATATACAGGTAGGTCATATATTCGATTGTGGCTTTGCAAATTTTAAAAGGGAAAAAGTCTAGATGTAAACAAAACACATTCGAAGACACGTTTATTGATAGAAATACTATAGACTCCACCGAGTTCGACTCCTAGCAGGCTTAAAAAATATAGCCAGCTAACTGATTACACCACAGTACAGCAATGGTCTATGATTATAGACCAGCATCTACAGTAATTGAAGCCATAGCCAACTAAGCGTTAAGACAACGGTTATAGACCACGTATAACAATCCGCCTCTGTTCATTACACTTTGACACATACATGTTATAAACAACCAAATGGAAAAAAAAAGACATTACACTTAATGTTAACACCAAACTGTAGCAAAATATCCATTAGGTTCATCTTTCCTTCAGAATAGAAACTCTCATCATCACATTAACAAGCCTGTAGTGGTAATAATACTAAAGATGAGTTTACAGTACACATGAACCCGATAGTTTACAATTTTGTAGATCATGTATTTAATTTCCAATCATATAATCCCAATCATTATGAGTAGAAATACAATACCATATGGTCGATATGAACAAAAATTTATAACAATCTCTATTTATAGAAAAGTTATAATTAGTACTACTACTGTAGGCCTACTTCACTTTATTGACGTATTTCCTGTAAATTCCAATGCTCCTTATTAACATAAACAAACAATTTTGACATAGAATCTGTAAAAATATATGTGTTTTAATATTTCATTTAAAGCATTTACTGACAAATTATACTATTATATAGTTCTACAATTTTTTTTTTATAAATATACAGTAAATGTAAAACAAGATACATGTAGTGGCGTATCTAGGGGAGGGCGTGGTGGTGCACATACCCCCAAAAAAATTACTCACTTTCCCAGTTGTCTCCCCCCCCCAAAAAAAAATCAAGGTCAAGCAGTTAAAAATCACCTAAAATTACCATATTTTGCGAATTAGCGCCACTCAACTGATCATCAAGCACGCCCCCACTACACATTTACGCCCCCATCAGCAACCCCCAATTCAAGACTTCTAGATATGCCACTGGACCCATGCCTTCTGTATTATAACAATAAAGAATGTACTGAAAACAGATAAAACAGTAGTCTTTCTTTTGACTAACAAATAAGTTTGACACAGTAAGCTTTCGCTAGCTCTTGGATAGTTTCTTTAGGCCTTGTACTAAACGTAGGCCCTACTGTAACGTTTTCTCTTAAACAATTTAGGGTAGCCTGCCTACAGTATATACAGTAGGAAACACATCCTATTAATTCTGTTGGCAGGCTACAAAAAAAAAATAAATGTATGACCTCTAAAATATCTGTTCAGTTGAAGTACAAGTATTTATTGTTTACATTCTCCCTAACAATAAATCCAATCAATTAAATCTTTTTTTTTTTTACGATTTTTAATGAAACAAAATAACAGTGAAACACACCAACCAAACTAAAAGATCTTGTTTTCCTTTGGTACATTAAATCAAAATTATGCTAATGCATGAGTCTAGACTGCAGCAAATCAATGACAAAAATAGGAATTATGCTTTTAAAATCAGTTAATTTTGAATGACAACAATGTAAAAAATAATCACAGGCGTAACAATGTATGACGTTGGGGGGAGAGTTGCCAGCAAAACAATTAAATAATCTCTCTGCTACAGTATTACACTAGCTTAAAAGTAAAGTTCACCAACTCTAGTACCATAGACACTCACTAGGCCTAATTTTACTCAGAAAGGCGGGCAGCACCATGGCGGTGGAGCACATAGTCCAGAATATTGATGCATCTCACGTGATGTGAATAAAGATAGGGCGACAGAACTTTATTGCAATATGCAAAATGTGGATACATTTTTTTCGATCCTGATGCAATTACGAAGAGTCAATAATACTAAAGAAAAATCTATAATACATTATAAATACATTAATTAATTTACGTTTGTATATTATGAAATGTTGTTAAATGTTGTTAATCATATTTTACTATGGAATGTATAAAATTATAAAGCATATGAACAACACAGAAATTCAACTA